GGTTCAAAGTTAGTACAAAAGAAAAGCAACTGAAAGAAATCCTTATGCAGATAATTACAGCCAATGAAGTTAAAAAAAATAATCGAATCACTGAGTTATTTTTAGGTAACACTGTGTTTTCATTTATATGAAAGCAAAAGGCTTTTGTTTTTTTTATCACACTATTTTTTTTATCACATGGTGCGTCATATTGAACAAAACTAAAAATCTAAATGACAATAGTTGTGATGCTTTAGGATGTAATATATAGCTGCTAAAGCTGTAGTTTTGGCCATTTTTTTCTTCTTTTTCTAGTTTATAGTTTGTACTCTTTAATTAGGTTATTTGAGTTTTCTAGACAAGTGATGTATATCACTATGTGCTTATACATGTCTTTTGTGGCTAACGGAAAAAAATAAAATCACTGTACGCATGCCTATATGCTTTCACTACGTAGCACCTACTCACTACTCTTGAGTGTTCCATATAATTTAAGTAAAGAAAAACTAAAAAAAAAAAACTCTAATTTATAATCGAAAACATTTAGTTATAGAAAACTTGTCTTGTGCTAGTATTTTCTCAATCATATAGTAAAACCAACAAATTGAATTTAAGAAGTAGAGCCATAAGGGTCAATTAGTGTTCCTTGTTCTATTAAAAGCACACAAATTTAAGAAGTAGCGTGTTTATGTGTAGTAGGTCGTCCATTAGGCATGAAGAAACGGCAAACAAATTCTTGCCCTGAAATTTTTTCCCAATTTGTATTATTGATGCAAATATTTTCATCTCATACCATTTATTTTTCTTCTTTTTTTTCCTTTTTGATTGAAGACGATTAAAATGAAAGGCCAGTACATGATTACTTGATCTAGAGCCATCCATTGTCCCTCGTCTTCTACGGCAAGCAATGCTTAGGTTTGTTTCTAGGGTGACAAACAAGAAAGAGAAGAGAATGCCAAGACAGCGTATCATTAAAAAACTCGAACTCAGACCTGGAAATATATATATATATATATATATATATCACGCAGTGTTAGTTGATTTCGCCATATTCCTTGTCCTAGGTGGTTACTACGTATAGCTTGTCTCTGTTGTCTTCGCTACCTACAACACACAAATATATATTAACGCTCGTATATTTTGGGCTTGTTAGGTTGTAACATGACATGCTCAACATTCCATCTTGTTTTAAAATAATTTAGTTTTTGCGTATAAGTGTAATTAGGTCAACCCTTATAGGATGATTAATTTGGATCGTGTGAATATATATTTCTGTTGCTGTCTTGCACTTCATGCCATGCCATGAAGTAAGGAGATATGCCGTTAACACAATATCCTATTTTATCAATCATGCCCTATTACATGCCCAACAACCAAAAACCGTCCGAACTCTTCTGTCTTTTTCCACTCTTGAAGCGGATTAAAAAGAAATTAAATAGCATACAATATCTGTTTTATATTCTTACCTAAACTTAATTCATGTAATCACTAAACAATCATCCATGGCATAAACTATAGTAGTTATCTAGCATATACGAGGACACATTCAATGTTCTTCTTTGCTTTCATAGACTATAACTAGCTAGCACATTTCATGTTATACCATATTAGTTGTTATATACACATAGGCTGCAGGTCAACTTAATTATGCCATTGATTTGACAATTTCTTATTGGTGTTGGATCCACCGCCTAGTGATTTTAATAAAACATTGTTTCATGAAGTTTCTTCTAGGAAGTAATTGGTTCATGCCGTCCAGAATATGCAAGACATCTTTAAAACAATGCATGCAACTAAGTACCCAATGATTAAAAACTTCTTAAGTAGGTGCGAAAGACGAGGTCGAACTTATAATTGCATTTGAGGAGAATAATGAGGCCTAGCTAGCTAATAAGCTTTAGCTTAATTCAAGGAATATGTCCTCAAATCAATTTATTATTAAAAGTAAATCATAAAAAATATTAAAAATTATCTTAAAATTACAGTAACCATCTAAAAATTTAGAGATATTACTCAATTTAAGTAAATATTACAAAAACCTTGTTTATATCTTAAATAATATACCCTATATAATTTTTAATCACTCATTTAATATATATTAAGAGCGGTTTGAGTATAAAATGAGGTTTTTATAATATTTTCAAATCTTGAATGATCGTTATAATTTTATAATATCTAGTACCATATTATCTATGAGAATCTAGGTATTCAGTCTTTTCATGTATTATAGTATATATTTTTGTAATGATTTCCCACAATCTAATGGCTGGAAATTTTTATTTAAGAAGGACATATGTGAAAGCAATAGTCGAGGAGGGTAATAATCAATATGTAAGAAAGCCGAAAGGATGCCTTCATGTTGGGAAGGCTTCCTTCCTTTCTGAATTTTTTGTTTTTTTAGCTAGCATTGACTTTAAAGATATGTATAAGAACATCATCAACTTAGATGTGGATTGTCTTGGCATAGTTGACACTTGAATATTATTATTAACATAAGAAAAGGAAAAAGAAAAGCAGAAACTAAAACATCAAATGAAATCATATCGTAGGGCCTAAAAAATCACACGTGGACCATGTCATTATCGAACTCACCATCTCCAATCTGCATGCGTTATCTCTCCCTTTGGTCACGCTCTCCCTTCTCTCAGCTCAGCTTTTACCCTTAGGTTCCTCTCTTTTTCATTAGGGATTATTGTGCTTAGGAAGATCCCATCATCAAAAACACCGTAAGTGGTGCACTTTGATAGAAATATTAAACCCCGTCTTCATCAACATCGTCTTCATCATCATCATCTACACCATCATCTCTCTCTCTCTCTAGACAACCACAAAAAAAAGAACTCCACTAATAAAGAAAATCATAAGAACCCACCCATATATCTAACGTCGGAGGAAAGCAATGCATGATCGAATAATCCACAGCAAAATTATTCCAAGTTGTTGAAAAAGAACAAAAACAAAAGGCATTAAAAGACAGATAAGCCTCCTCCACGAAAATGAATTCTGTATAGTTAGCTGGATGTGCATGCAAAATAAAATAAATAGATATATAGTCCTTCATAATTAACATAAGCTTGGTGTATTTGAAAAACTACCCTACAAATTAATTAATAAACAGATTTTATCTATCCATACACGCGCGCGCGCGCGCACCAAGGAATGATAAAAAAAATATCAAACACAATACACAATATATATATATATATGTTACTTGGTGGAAGAATATTGGCCTTGTTACATGTATCAATGATAGGTCGACAAAGCAACGTGAGGTAGACGTGCATGACATGAGATTGATGAATAGTTAGGTTCTGTAGTTTATTTTGCCGTGGTTTCCGGATCCATTACAAATTTTCTTTTTAGAATATGGTTACTGGTTAGATTATAAAATCTCTGATGCTACTGTATATTATTATTATTATAATGATAATAATAAAATAAAGTCTATGGGCTCATGATTTTGCCTTACGAGCAAAGACTAGGTGGGTGGGTCCCGTAATGATTAAACCCGGGCAGTTTTCGAGATCGTGGGTGAAGGGACGGGCAGCCCCAAGGGGTGGATTGTCATGGCTGACCGCTGACCGTAGTAGTTTTTGTTGCGCCTTGGAATTTTATGGGTGAAGTAGACGTTACATTTATGGGGCTCCGGGAAGGACGTAAGCTAGAGACAAAGCATGACTTCAAATACATTTTTTTTTTTTATGAATATCAAAAAAGAAAAGCTTGAACTTCAAAATTCAAATACATATTTATTTTTTAATTTTTTAAAATTAATTTTTTTAGATATTTTTGGATGATTTTGATATCTTAATATTACAAATATAAAAATAATATATTAATATATTTTTAATGAAAAAATATATTTTAAAAAATTATTACCCACCACAACACTAAACATATACACACCAAGTCACCACTAAACTCTATTAAAAAGAGAGAGAGAGAAATGAAGTCACCGCTTGCTAGCTTGCTTGCATCTATACTTGGATGCTCGCATCTTTCGTTACTTCCAAGTGAAACCTGGTGTTCCGCACCTAGCTAAATGCTTACAAAAGGGTACTTTTTCACAAAATTAACTTAGAAATCGAGATGGGTAATTTCTAGCTAGCTAGACCTACCGGGGATTAGCATAGTCATGATGACGCTCTCCCTCGTCAGACAAGGAGAGAAGAGGAAATGGCGTCTTCCTGTTTTGACTACTTAATATTTGAAAGTAAAAATATGAAGAGGTGAGCAAGGATAAGGATGGGTTTTTATTTTGGATTGTTCTTCTTACGACTATTTAATACCTTAAAAAAAAAGGTTGATGTAGACAGAGGTTAAGGTTTCAGCTATTAATTCGAAGTGACTGGGTATTCTTCCAATATTTGCTTGCATGCTCATGCGTGTGATGCTTCCAATATTTGCTTCCCATGCTAGCTTTTTTGGGTTTTTGACGATTGTGATTTGATAAAAGCAGATAGAGATAACCTGTAGAGGGCAGCAGCTTGTACCTTTCTTGACGTTGCAGCATGTAAGGGATAACATATGGAGCCCAAGAGATGCACTCACTTTGCTTCCAGAATCCTCAACCACAGATCATGTCATGGTGCTGCACTATGGTAGAAGTGCTTAAAAGTCCCCAAACATTTCTCATTATTCAATTCTCACTTGTATCATTGTTAAGTTATCATACACTCGTTTCTTCCAATTTTTTTCTTTTATTTTTTCGGCTTTTAGGCTCTGTTATTTATTTTTGCGTTTTCTTTTCTAATTCACTTCTCTAATTGGAGAAAATAGCTTGGAATGCCCCTGAGATGAGGTTTACAATTTCGGAGCAAATAACATGACCCAAAGTGTATTTCCAAGCTATGCCGGTTGATCGATATTTAATTATATTTGTTTTATTAACGAGCATCAACATCATCTGATGAACGACAACTCTTCGCATATTATAACAAAAGTTAAATAAAGCAAAGTTTTTATTGTTTATCTTTTTATGTTTCATCAAATACATGTCATTGTGGATTAATACAATATAATAATTTAAAACAGAATAATCCCATTAAGATTTTTGAAGTCTAGCACTAAAAAATGACATGGCTGCCGTATTGACATCAGGCTTGTTTGTCGACTGTTAATTAAGCACCGTGATCCGTCAGCATTCCAATGAAGCGCCGGGCTTTCCTATCCATATGCCAGGCATCAAGGGCTAGGGCTGCGAACGCATCCTCGAGTCAAAATTACAAGGATTTGAAATAGGCAAGAGGTTGGTCTGAAAGATAGAGAACCACCTCCCTAATCAAGCAATCCTCCACGCCATAGCCCCCCAAGTAAATTCTTCCCTGGGCATCCTGTTTTAAAGTTAATTGCATTAATCAAACTCATCCATAACCACAAACTTTTTTACGCCTACACAGAACAATTCAACGTACAATCGACAACTCCTCTGCCATGCAACAGATTGCAGTGAACGCCCACAAGAGCATAGCAAGGAGGCTACTTGTCTGAAAAACCTGAGCAAATCCATGACCTACGCACCCATGTAATCCTGCAAGGAGCACATACATTTTAAGATATGTTTATCTTGGGGATTAAGATTATCACAGGTTCGGGACACAAATGCAATCATCTTAATTGTTATTTTGAAATAATGTAATTCAACAGCTAGAATTGAAAACAATTTAACAATAGAACACATCGCAAAGAGAGAGAAGCAAAGGCATATGCCGAAACCAGAACTATTAAAGCAAGCAGTCCATAGCTCCAATCAGGTTCTGCATTCCTCGTGTTTGATATTATTCCCGCATTATATACACAGAACTGCTACTCAGCTCTTCCATATCATTTAGATCATGTGTTACAGAGGCACGTCTTGAATATTGCAGAAATCTTCATAGTTCACTAGTGCATCACTTGCTCCCTTCTTTAGACTCTAATATTCCACCAATCAGACATTCTTCAGAACTACATATCCACTTTGGCAACTTATTACAAACCTTCAACTTCAAATCAATGTACAATGTTCAGAAAAGCCAAAGGACTGCTTACAGTTTAGGCCAAATACACCAAAAATAGCATTGCAGAATGAAATGAAAGAGCGATTAATTTCAACCATGCACAAATTTCTTTAAGAGGGATGAAACTACAGCGGTTGACCCCTTCATCATTTATGAAAAGGACATGATCTGCACTGCCCACAATCAACATATAACAAGCAGGGGCCTTGGAATCCTTTAGCATGCTGTTCTATTGACAGGAAAGGGACAAGAGCCAGACCCCCACAAGATAAGTGGATGAAAGGAAATCCATTCATTATAACATTTAACCAAACTACAGAGGCAATATGTGAAACTATTAGAAAACTTATAATACCAACAGAATAACCGAAGAAAACCACTAAAACCTTATTAAACTTGAGAAACGAAACAATAAAAAAGAATGGAAAACTTGCTACAGCTTGATCAAGTTGAAATTTAAGATTGAAACTACTTCAGTATTAAGGTAGGTTTATGATAGGTAGACCCAAATTATAGATGGATTGGCAAAAGCAATTAGTACCTTAAGATAGAATAATAGGTTTCGTATTTTAGCACTTACATACAACGAATAGTCGATTACAGCATGCTGTTTCCAGCAATGGGTAGCAATAACCCTATCTAACATCAAAGATCAGTTCAAGAAGGAATTATCATTCCAGAAGCAGGCAAACACAACACATTTATGATGTATGTCCTTTCTGTGTGCAATGCATGGAATTCCTCATTCAGAACCGATTCTTAACTTCCCATACCACAAGCTAGCACATTATTTATTAGGAGTCCATTTTGCATGACTTTTACAAATTGAATTAAGATGCTTTTGACTTTTGATCAAAGAAAAGTCACAATTATGTTTACTCAAAAATAACTTCAATAACAAAAATTTCTTATAAATTTGAGTCAAGATTTTGCTTTATCAAAAGTTAAACTTGTAACCTCCAACTTTTTTGATTCTACGTTTTGCCATCTCCATTATTCAAAGAAATTGCTTTGTGTTTTGAAAAAACATACTTCTATCTTGAATTATTTGTATCACAAGTATTCTACAAAGAAGATAAACTTATGAGAAGATATTGTCCCGGTACCATTCTACCTTGTCAAGATGACACCAAACCTTGAGCAGTTCATTAGCTGAAGTGTAGCTCATGAAAGAGAGTTAACATTTGAGGTATAACTATTGACTTGAGAAAGACACATACAAATAATTTTATCCTAAAATGTTCTTGCAAGCCCATGAGTTGTCTCTAACACAAGATGGCAGTTTTACTTCTCTTAGACAAATTATATTGGATCATCTATAGATTCATCAACCTTATTGCTCAGATAAAAGTGGCAGTAGATTCAGAAATTTGTTAAATTAAAAATTTCCTCAAGCAAGGGGATCATCCCAACACCAGAATAATATTTCAACAGAACAGAAAAATTGGCTGACTGGTCAACATGTATGACATGAGCCAAAGCAGAAAGCAGTACAAACATGATCAGGATGCACCATCATTCTGGACTTAAACTAGAAAACGAGCCAATGAAGCCAAAGCGGTGGATAAAAATGAGATGTCATCCCGTCACAGTGAACAGATTGAATACTCGTTATAAATGACAAATCCAAACAAATTCCAGACCCTGATTCCTATTATGGTTTTGTACAAGAAAAAGGCCTGGCATCAGTGTGCTTAAGTTTTGAGAGAGCAAAGACATAAATGTTAAAGAGGGAGGGGGTGGGAAAGAGATGCGAGTGAATACGCAGATTATTTGGAAATTTGCAGCCACTCATGAATCATGAGTTCACCCAAAGAGAGAGACGGTGTCTGGTTTCAAGAATCACATGACTATGCTACTATTGTCCAGTTTCAAGAATCACAGGACTATGATACTATTCACGCTAGTACTTGGCTTTATTGAACTCATCTTAAGCCCTAAACTTTTATGCTTATGTGTGGTTGGCATGAAGAAGCTGCCATCAAAGTAGTAGCAGAGTTGATCAGTGATAGCAACAAAGCATACAAAAGTTTAACCTTGGTGACAGGGGACCGGTATGGTTAAGTCAAATGACACAATCGCATAACCTTATAACCAAAAAATTTACCACTCAAACACAGGCATTATGTCAAGAAAATAAATAGCAACCAATTAACTCAATCTCCAAACAAAGAAAGATATAGTTATTAATATTTAAACCAACTCCACCACAAATAGACAGTGAAACTATTCGGCAATAACTATATCAAGAAAGTATATCTTGCAGAAAGGCAAGCCAGATGACTTTGCTAAGAAAGAAATATCTTGAAATATGAGCAACATGTACTTGTCCAACATGTCTACTATTAGTCAATAAACATTATCTTTCCATCTTTGTAATCTAATAAACATTAACCTGAATAGATTTTGAAATGACAAATACTATCAAACATGTCAAATTGCAAGATTAAAGAAAAGGGAACATCACAAGCAAGAAATCAATAACAAGAAACTACCAATTGATACCCAGACTATATCATCATTATTATTAGTAAAAAAAGATAGCTCAAACCATCTCAGGCATGCATTTTTATCTATTATCACAATTCATCCATGACCGAGGTTTTTTTACTCAAAAAAGAAAGTTACATCAATTACTCTAAAAGTTATAAACCAAAAAAAAAAGAAAGTTCAAAACTCACTGAAACCCCTTTCTAAGCTTCAGAATCGCGGAGTACAGTTTCCTTCTCGAACCAACTGCATTTATTCCCATATCTTTCAAATCCTCCAATGTCAATAACGGCAACACTTGATCATCCACTTCATGTATCTCAAAAACAGGGGCGTATCGACTTAACCCTAACTCAATCAACCAAGTCCTCACGCCTTCCCATTTTCGCTCCGAATTATCATCATTCTCCATTTCAATTCCTTCATTTTCCCTACTCTCTGTAACCCTAACTCGACCAGAACCCGTACTTGTTCTCCGATTCCCTTGCCAGAAATCTAAAGCAACATTTTCAACAGAATGAACCGGACTTTGATCTTTTAAAGGACTATCAGAATCAAGATCGAATTCCCGAACAAACCCTTCCTCTCCATTTGAATTCTCTAAAGTAGCATCTCCTTCATCGATTCTAGAATTCGATGAAATCCAATTCGATCTCACTCTCTTCGTTGTACCTCTCTTCGCCTTCCTTCTATGACCGAATTCGACAAGATTTAGCTCTCCGTTTTGATTATTGTTATGGAGCTCGTGTTCTTCAATTTCGTTGCTGTTTCCGTTAACGAGGTGGGTTAAAGAACGAGCTTTGATTGATTTTGAGTCTTTAGGGATGCGCCACGTGTGGTGTTGCTGCAGATGCTTTGTTGACCGTCGCACGTGCGTTTCATGTGCTGTTTGGTGATGGTGGTCCCCGATCTCACCGAGACGGACGCTTGGTCGACGTTGGCGTTTTGGTATTGGTGGTGGTGGCCCATGGTTTTCTGATTCGGCTAGGGCTAGAGCTGTTATTGTTGCAGTTGTGGTGGGGTCTATGGCGGCGGATGCTGTGGTGGCGGCGGTGGTGGTGGCGGCGGCGGCGGAGGCGGTTGGGCCATCCGGTGGAAGTAACTCGGCGGCCATTTTTTTTATGAGAGAGAAGATAGAGAGTGTAAGCCTGTCTGGACGGAAGTGTGCGTAGGATAAGGGTTTGGATAGGGGAATCTGGTGGTTTCAGGAGTATGGTGTGTTTGTATTCTGGACCGTTCAATGAGGTTTATTGTGAACCGTCGCTTCCTGACAGATGCCAAGGCCCATCTCGACGTGCATGTAGGAAGTTGCTTCGATAGGCCAATCTTGACGTTCTTTCGATTTTGGGCTGATAAATGCGAAGGCCTATATATGTTGGGTTACCCCAAAATATGAACTCATTTTACATACAAAAGTAACATTTTATATTTAATATCAATAATTTTTCATTTTTAATCTAAATTTCAAAGATTTTATATTTAATTATGATTCTCATATTATTCCCTTTATATATCTAAAAATTAGTGGATTTTAGTTTCTCTTAGTTTCTAAAAACAACCTTTCATCTTAATTTTTTGAATGTCTAAGTTTTTCCATCTAGTCTATAATTGTAAATCATGATTAAATTTAAAAGAAATTAGGATCATAGGAGTAGAATATGTAGTTCTTCATATTGTAAATATTTTTTTAAAAATAATTTTTCAATAATCATTACCATAATGAGATGCTCGAAACCTTTGCTAAAAATTATTGCAATTAATAAAAATAAAAATTATATCATAATAACTCTTTAATTTAAGAAAAAATATTTTAGGCAAAAAAACCTTCAAATAATATAACTTTTAAGAGTTACATAATAAAACTTTTTGTAAAGTTTTTTTATAAGAAGAAATAATAAATAACAAATTCTCAAATGTATTGTTAGGGTATTATAAGAAAATATGATAAAATAAAAACTTGAAAAAAAAATTAAAAACTCAACATCTTGAAATAAAAAAAAATATCATATAATTTATATGATTATTTACCTTTTAAAAAATAACCTCATCTGCGCTCCTCTTTCAACTTATCTTCTGCAAACCGAGTGCTCGTATGGTGCACCAGAAAGTGGAAGGGCGTGGTAAGGTTTTGAGTATGTTTGGTATTGTGATAGCTGCTATGATTGTGGTTTGAAAAAAGTTGTTTTTATAAAAAGTACTTTTAGTTGGGGTTGGTTAGAAAAATATGTTTGATTAAAAATATGGTTAAAATTGATGTTTAACAAAAAATAATTTAATGTGTTTGGTTAAAAGAGTGTTTTCTAAATTGAGGCTATAAAATAATTAAAAAAACATTTATTAATATTAATGATTTTTAATTTAAATATTGTAGATTTAACTATTGTTATTACATGATGAAATAAATAATATTGATATTAAATATTTTTTATCGTTCCATTAAATTATATACAATTTCATAACGTACAAAATATATTCAACAAGAACTATATTTTTCATGATTTTTTAAGCACATAACAACATCAGATAAGATATCATCACGAACAAAATTGAAGTTGCGATCAAATTCTACAAATGCTACATCATCAAGTGATCTCCTTCTAATTTTTTTTTAATAAAACACAATTAAAAATTAAAATTAAAATTAAATTTTTTTAAGTAGGTCAAACTTCACAAGAATAAAATTGGGATTACGATCAAATTCTGTAAATATTATATCATCAAGCAATTTTCTTCTAATTTTTTAAATAAAACACAATGAAAAAAATAAAAATTATTTTTTTTTAGTCAAACCCGATTCAATATATTTAACTTTGAAACGAATCCGAACCAGCGGGGACAATGGAGAATGACTCCACTGTTCACTTAATTGAGTGAACAGTGGAGAGTTTACTCTCCATTGTGCAAAGCAGTAGCAGGAAGAAGCACAAAAAAATTGCTTCAGTTGAACCTACGGTTTCACCTCATTTTTTGTGGGTTCCATGCGTAAAAATACAACCACAATTTATAACCAAACATTATGTCATTGAGTTTGAAAAAAAAAACAGCAGTTGTCGCAGAGCCAAACGCCCACTTTATCAATTGTTTACACGCGGCTTGCAGCCACTAGACTCGTCTTGCTCAGTTGGTAGAGCACAAGGCTCTCAACCTTGTGGGTTTTTTTTTTTTTTTCATTCTTCTATTCTGGTCTTTCCCATGCTTCTGATTCCAAGCGCGCCAAAGATATTTCAAATATTAGAATAGTGTGGCGATTAGAATTATGTTTAGTAGTTTTTTATTTTTTAAAAAATAAAATTAATTTTTTTAGTAATTTTGAATAGTTTTAATATAATAATTTCAAAAGAATTTTAAAAAATAAAAAAAATATATTATTTTCATACATTTCCAAACTAAAAACACTTTAAAAAACAATCATTACCACACTCTAAAATACTACGTAAAAGAACTAAAGTGAACCATAGCTCATTTACTGTTTATATGAATACTAATATAAACAATCAAGAAGCTGGTTCAATTATTTTTATTTATTTTACTTTTTTTTAAATTGAATTATTTTTAGCTTTTTTCTCACAATTACATCCTGTAATATTAATATCATTTTGAATTGATATTTAAAATTTATTTTAGTTTGTTTTCTATAAAAATATTATAGTCTCAAACAAACATCATAATATTTGGTTAATACTAAATTTCGTTAATATCTATTTTCGTTATCATATCATTAAATAAAAATTAAATAAACAAATAATCAAATAAAGTTGTTAAACTCATTAGAGTTCATGATTTGAATCAAGGGTTTAGCAAGTTAAATCCAAAGCTTGAGCCGATACAATATATCACTGTCTCAATATTAACAAAAAAAATCAACTTTATTTTTTTAAAAAAACAAACCATATTTTTTATTAGTCATTCGAGTTGCCTTTAAACCTAATAAGGCAACTTATTCATGTTGAGACAACTTCTATGCATGTTAATTTTAAACTCAAACTAAGCAAGAAGTTAGGTCGAGAGATTTCAAAGTTAACGCACTAAGTTGAGCTTTTTTTATTTTTTTTTTAATTTCATCTTTCAAATTCTTTTATCTCTATAAATTTTGATCCTACTTGCTTTCACAACCCAAATTTTTATCTTTATAAATTATTTAATAAAAATATATCTTTTATAAAAAAATTTAAAAGAAATAAAAAAATTTAAAATCCAAAAATATTTTTGAGACACGAAGAGATAAATATTTTAGCTACAACACTTCAAAAAACTAGAAGAATAGTTAGATTGTGGTATTTTGACAAGACAAACTAAAGAAAGACTTAATAGAAAGAAAATTGAGGTTGAAATCCAAGCTTAACCAAGATCGGAATAATTAATTAAGTTTAAGGATTTAATTAAACTTTTAACATGTTTAATTGACTTAATTGAAGCAAAAAATAAGTTTGAAAGTCAATTAAGCAAATATTAGAAGAATTAATTAAGTTTAAGAACTTAATTAAAATTCTAATAAGTTTTCTAGATTCAACCAAGGACTCAGTTGAAGAAAAAACAAGTTTGAAGGTGTAATTTAGATCAATTCATAAACATTAGAATGTTAGGGACACAATTGAAACTTTGAAAGGCTAAATTGATGCAATTAGAAGCCTAATTGAAATAAATTTGAAGTATGAAATTCAATTAAGGATCACATTGGAGAAATCCAAAATCAAGAACCTCTTTGTAAAAAGCGTTGAAATTTAAGGATCCAATTGAAGAATATTAAGAGTGAAATTGCAAGGACTTCAAAAGATTAGTGTTGATTAGGTGCTCTATTGCAAAGTTCTAAAAGTTTAGATATTATATTGAAAAAAAACTATGATTTCACTATTCATTATCTTGTTCCAATTAAAACAAAAGAAAAAAATGCTCAAGTTCTCACCTTTCAGGCCTAATTTTTTCCTTACTTTTTCACCACACCACCCAAATCCTATATCAACTTACATCCTGGTATTTTTACTTCACTCTAAGCTAAAATTTCATCTCTTAATACACTAAAAACAAATGCAAATTATCTCTCAAAAAGGCTACTTGACATTGTGTTATTTGTAAAAATAATATTGTGTTTTCTATTTGTCAGCTGCAGAACAATACAAACATTTATCCTTAGCTTCAATCAATAACTAAAATCTATATTCAAACATCAATGGTTTAAGGTAATCCAGCTCATAAGATCTATATCCTTCTCCTTTGTATAATAAAATAGCTCAAAAATCCTAACCCAAGCAGCTCGCGAGGAGGGAGATCAACGTTGCCATAAACATTAGGTTATTCTTCTTTGTCTTATAATAAATAGCTCAAAAACCTTAATCCAAGCACTCGAAGGAGAGGGAAATCAATACTGCCATGAACATTAGATTATTCTTCTTTATCTTATAAAATAGCTTAAAAATCCTAACCCAAGCAGCAGAAGGGAAAGGAGATGAACATTGTCATAAACATTATCTCTTAATCCATACTGTAGTAGCTTTAGGCATCATTTGTACCGTATTTTTAAAAAAATTAATTTTTTTTATGTATTTTAGATTATTTTAATATACTAATCTTAAAAATAATATTTTAAAAATAAAAAATATTATGTTAATACATGAAAAGTTTTCTACGATCATAACCCTTAGTCTTTCCAGCCTTAAACAAACTTAGAAACAGCCCTGATAATATCTCCTTCCATACAGCTACAGTGATACAAGCCACCATGGACCTTCTTCAGCTTTCAAAAGTGAAAAATGAAAAAGGAAAAGGAAAAGGAAAAAAGAATGACCCTTTCTTCTAAGGAAACCATGACCTGACCTCCCCCCTTCACCTCTCTAAGAACAAACTATATATTTTCCTGAAGCGTACGTTGCTCTTTCTCCACGACTAACGGTTTAAGTTACAACATGTTTTCTTCTCTGTTCATGGCTTCACAAGCATTTGCTTGCAGAGTCCATGCCAACCAAACTGCAGCCCATATGCTTCTCTTTCCACGACATCAACAGCACTGGTTTTGGTCATAATCAACAATTGATTCTTGCCAACTATGAGCAATAGTTCTTGACTCGAACGTGAACAGTAGCAGGGTTTCTCATCCTTAACAGCAAGGTCACCGTCAGCAACAACCGGCATCTCTCCTCAAAAAACATGCAACAGTCAACATATCTGTGCACTGTGAGCTTCAATCACGCCATCAGCATCACTAGTTCCATCAACTGTTAAATTTGGTAGTGCATCGTGA